GAAACATATAAATAATTAGTCAACATAAGTAATAAATGTTCATAAGCGAATTACTAACACATATTAAACAAGAGTACAAACAAACAAAAGTGTCACCATACGGAATATTTCTGATTACAACAATAGCTGCAGTTACACGATATGAGTACTTAGTCCGAACACTCATCACGATAACATTATGATACAACACCGAATAGTTCGCAATACTACTAGTACAACAATAGTCGGAGGTACTCATTACAACAACATTCAATTGAAATTACACGATAGAAGTATTTAGTCCGAACACACATCACATCACAACAGCGTTTTATTTCCTAAATCGATAGCATTGTTACACCATGGAATCGCCTGCTGCGCGACGACGCCTTGGCCTTGCGCGCCTGCTTGTTGTTCCTTCACCATGTGGTCGCCTACCATCACTTGCCTGTCCAGATAGACTAGCATCTGCGCCGCTTGGAACTTCTGCATTCTTCGGGCATTTCTTGTAAGTATGGCCGCGCAGATCACACTTGCTGCAGCGTAAAGTCCTCCCACCTGCTTCTGACTCATCCATATCATTTCTGATGCGTCTAGTTTGGCGTCGACCCTTTTTCACCCTTAACTTAGATGGATCTGGAATATAAAAAACTTGGGCACTCAGCGTTGTGTAAGATCCTAAGATCCCGAACCCATATATCTCCTCACTCCATGTATGAAAGATTGCTTCTTTCCTGAAATAATTTGAGACGTACACATTGGGAGATATGCCACAATCACCGGCAGCAGCAAGAACGTGTGAGCAAGGAAGGTGATGAAGCTTCGGCTTCATACAACTGCAGGTACATCCACCATCCGCCTTCAAGACACATTCCTGCACGGCTTGCTTGCGATAGATACCACGCCTGCTCCTATCAACACACATTATTTCATACCGATGCACTTGTGTGCCTTGAGCAACAACTCTATGTCTCCGTGCCTTTTTGATTTTATCTTCCATGTACTTTGTCACTACGTTGCCAAACACTATGTTGTTATCGGCCATGGACGGACCAATTTTCTTGTACGCTTGCGTGCCGTGAAGGATGAATTCAACAATAGCAACCAATGGAAGTACCCGAACTCCTCGCATTACCCAGTTGTACACCTCTGCCAAATTGGTTGTCATTATGCCATACCGAGATCCATCGGTGTCGAACAATAGAGACAACTTCTCCTTAGGCTCATTCTCAATCCACTGAGTGAAATTTCTGATGGCCGACCCTGACCTCCTTCTCATTGTTGGTGGGTCATCATGTAATGCACCAAGAGGTATGGGAGGCTCGTCACCTTCAACTTGTGGTCTGCAAGATTGCTCCTCTGTTTGCTTCGTTGTCAACTCATCCAACTTGTCCCACAACTCATTAAATTTCTTCTCTTGGTTCTGTGCACAGAGCCTCTTAAAGAGCTCCATAAGATGCTTGTTCTTGAATTGCTTGTAGAAATTTGCACCCATGTGACGCATGCACCACCGACTCCGAACATCAGGCCACTTAGCTGGAAGTCCCTTCTCATCCCAACCGTTCTGCAAGTAGTCAATAGCCCGCAACATACCCGTATGACGATCATGTATAAGGCAAACGTTGGGCCTCATACGCACCACTGCAATGTGCACTCTCTCTAGGAACCAGTACCAGCTTTCAGTGTTCTCACTCTCTACAAATGCAAAAGCCATAGGTAGAACCTGGTTGTTCCCATCACACCCAATTGCTGTCAATATCTGACCTCGGTATTTACCTGTCATAAAAGTTCCATCTATGCATAGAACAGGTCGACAATGCACAAAAGCATTGATGCAAGCACCCAATGAGAAAAAGGCTCTTTGCAGCACACTCTTTGTTCGATCATCAACCGATGTAAATGTATGTAGGTCATAGTAAGTATTATTATTCCTCTGGGCAATGGTGGCTAACAAACGAGGCAAATTATCATAAGAAGCTTCAAATGTGCCATACCTCATCTCAATAATCTTTTGTTTGGCTCTCCAGGCCTTTGCATAGCTTATGGTGTACTTGAATTTGTTCTCGATGTGCCTAATAATTGATTTTGGTTCAAAGCCAATGTTACCAACAACACTGCTGTACATCTCACTTGCCACAAAAGCTGAAGTGATGTTTCGGTGATACTTCTCCACCCCTTGTAAGTAGCACTTGTGCTCGGTCACAATGCTAACTTTCCAATAATCATTCCATTTACCCTTATATGCATGGACACGCCACGGACAATCTTCCTTCATGCACCTCACTTCATACACATAATTTGTTGACTTGACCACCCTAAACTCTCTCTGCAAGGAAACTGCCCAATGCTTCACCGCCTCCTTCATCTCATCCTTATGAGCATACCTTGCACCCTCAATTACCTCGTTCTCCTTATACTCCCAGGGTACATGATCACCCTCTGATATAACAAGTCCAGAGAAGTCCTCATTTGCCCAATCAGTGGCCATTACATCACCTTCCTCATCGGATGATGCGTCGTCGTCCGCTTCCTCATTATCCGAATCTTCCCTCTCCATTTCATCAACAATTATACCGACTCTCTCCCCCTCATCCGCCATGCCCATGGCCTGCTCCTCCCTTGGTTGATTTTCCTCATTTTGCATCGATGGTCCAACAACATCCCTTGCATTGATAGGACCCTCTACATCTTCGGTTTGCATTGAAACATTTATATCTTTCTCTTGTACCGACACAAATATAACGAGGGGCCATGACCGTTCAAAAGCCATTTCCACATACCGTCTCCAAGCAGCAGTGCTGTCCATCGGCATTAGTTCCCAAAAATAACCTTCTGTTGCACGACTCACTACAACTGATACTGACATTGTGTAGACTTCTTGGTCTATTCTAAATCCTCTCAACAACCAACTATAAATTGACTGAAATGTTTTCTCCGCAGGCCTATCGATACCCTTAGATGTCATTACAAAATCTGACAGATCAACACCATCTGGACCAAATCTAATATTTCCTTCACCGTGAACTATCTGAAATGTGACCTTATTTGACATTGTGCCTGATGAAAACAATAACTGCGTTAACCTCGCATTTCTGTACTACGCCCTAAGTTACATTCTCTACAATATTGTTCTCCAAAATTCTAAAAGTAGGTTACATTCTCCAGATCAAACTAAACTATATCTTACAATTAACACTACTGTCTATGTCTCAATTCATACTATTATATTCTATGCTCTGGATCTACACATATGTGCTGTGTACTACAGATATGCTAAAATATATGGAACTAAAACTAAAACGCAACATATATACTCAAACATAACATATTAGTACAAATGCAAAAGATGTATGGGAGCAAACCTGTGATGAAGTGAGCGAACCAGCAGGGCTTCGCCGCTCCCCTTCTGCTGCCCTCTCCTCTCTCTCTTTCGTTTTTTTTGGATTTTTAGTGAATATAATGAAATTTCAGAGAGGGGGGACTGGGCTTTATAGGGGGGAGGCAAAAATCGCCCTCCCCCAGGGCGGCAAGGGGGCCGCCTGCAAAATTCCATGCCCCCTCGCCGCCCATTTGCAGGCGGCCCCCCGCACAGTACAAAATCGCCCTAGCGGAGGGCGGCAAGGGGGCCGCCTGCAAAATTCCATGCCCCCTCGCCGCCCATTTGCAGGCGGCCCCCCGCACAGTACAATATCGCCCTAGCGGAGGGCGGCAAGGGGGCCGCCTGCAAATTTCGTTGACGGCCGTCGCCCGAGAGCGAACGGCTGTCTGCCACGTCATTTTCGCCGCCCTCTGGGATGGCGATTTTTAAAAATCGCCCTCCCAGAGGGCGGAAGGCGACTACTTCCGTCAATTTTCAAAATGGAAAATTATTTTTTGTAAAACTTTTAATAAAAAAAATTAAAAATAAAAAAAATTCATCCGAAAGCTGTGCACGTAACTGACGGCCCCATCTGACACGAGATGGGCCGGCACAGTGCACGGGGCTACAGCTCACTTTGCAGGAAACTTAGTTAGTGGGTTATGCGGTGGCCCATGTAGGATAAGAAGATGGTCTACTCATGCAACGGTCCCAATGAGGCCCAATATTCGCAAAAAAAAAACAAAATATTGGACCTGGCCCCACCAACCACCACGCCTGCGACACCTTATCCAGGGTCCCACTCGTCATAATCTCTGTTTGGCCATAATTGGAAACCGAAACTGCGCACAGCAGTACTCCATCCCATTTTAATCCTTTGCACAGAGTTCTTATCTCAGTTTTCCTAACTCACCTATCTTGTTTTCCGCGTGTACGTTTTTTAAACTGCTAAATGGTGTGTTTTTTTAAAAAAATTCTATACGAAAGTTGTTTTAAAAAATCATATTAATCTATTTTTTTAAAAAATAGCTAATATTTAATTAATTGTGCAATAATACGTACCCAACCCCTCCTTCTGACCACACTCTTAAGAGATCTTTTCAAATTGATCATCATCTAACCTGTCTATTTGTTTATTTATGCAGAAGTAAATGCAATAGTTGCATGTCTATTTATCCATGTGTGTAGGAGTAAATGCTGTAGTTACATGTCTGTTTGATCGTGCATGTGGACATCGTTGCATATCCACATGTATGCTTAACACAACACTTTGATTGATGAGGTTTAATTAAGAGATAATTAAAAAATGCCATTGACGAACGTTTAAATCTAAGAAATACCATCAACGTGTGGGTTTTAAAAAAATACCATCGAACAAACGATTTTATCCTAAAAATACCATCACCGTTAAAATTCCGTCTATTCTACGCTGTTAAATACATTGTTCGTCCTATTACACTTAACATAGCGGAATGAAAGGAATCATAATGACGATGACATTTTTGATAAAATTGTTTGTACAATGGTATTTTTTAGAACTCACACTTATCGATGATATTTTTTTGTATTTGGACGCTTGTCAATGACATTTTTTTTAGGTTATCTCATTTAAAAAAGGAAGGATGTTTTATTGTCTTGGTCTTGACGCTATTGCAAATATGATAATCAAATTTAAATAGAGGAAGCAACCCTTTTTTTCCTTTCCTTTGTACAATAAATGAGCTCACTGCTCACCCATCTTCCATTTCTGCTGGCTTTCGTCAACGAAAAATAAAGGAGAAAAAAAATATCTTCTCGCCGTCTCGCGTGCTGCCGTCTCCGTCTCCGGCGATGGCGCCGCCACCGCCGCCACCGACGGCGACGAAGTACTTCTGGGGCGACTCCCCGGAGCCCGACGAGTACTACGCCTCGCTGGGTCTCCGCCACGCCGAGGCCTACTTCCAGTCCCCCTGCGGCCGCCTCTTCACGCACTCGTTCCACCCGCTCTCCGCCGCCAGCGACGGCGACGTCAAGGGCGTCGTCTTCATGAGCCACGGCTACGGCTCCGACTCCTCGTGGATGTTCCAGAACATCGCCATCAGCTACGCGCGGTGGGGGTACGCCGTCTTCTGCGCCGACCTGCTCGGACACGGCCGCTCCGACGGCGTCCGCGGCTACCTCGGCGACACGGAGGCCGTCGCGAGGGCGGCGCTCTCCTTCTTCCTCTCCGTGCGGCGGAGCGGCGCCTACGCCTCCCTCCCGGCGTTCCTCTTCGGCGAGTCCATGGGCGGCGCCACCACCCTGCTCGCCTACCTCCGCTCCCCGCCCGACGCCGGGTGGGCGGGGATCATCCTGTCGGCGCCGCTGCTCGTCTTCCCCGACGACATGTACCCGTCCCGCGTGCGGCTCTTCCTGTACGGCCTCCTCTTCGGCCTAGCCGACACATGGGCGGTGATGCCGGACAAGAGGATGGTGGGGAGATCGATCCGCGACCCGGCGAAGCTGAGGGTGATCGCGTCCAACCCGCGGCTGTACCGCGGCTCGCCGCGGGTGGGGACGATGCGGGAGCTCGCACGCGTGACGGCGCTGCTGCGGGAGAGCTTCGGGGAGGTGGCGGCGCCGTTCCTGGTGGTGCACGGCACCGACGACGGGGTGACCTCGCCGGAGGGGTCCAGGATGCTGTACGAGCGCGCGGCGAGCGAGGACAAGAGCCTCATCCTCTACGACGGGATGTACCACTCGCTCATCCAGGGGGAGTCCGACGAGAACCGCGACCGCGTGCTCGCCGACATGCGCGCCTGGATCGACGAGCGCGTCCGCCGCTACGGCGCCGGCGCCGGCGCCGCGGCGGCCGACGGCCACGCCGAGGCGCCCGCGGCCTGACGACACGGCGGTGCGATTCTACTATGCTCGATGTCCTCCTCCAATTCGCTAGATTTTTTCCTCTTCCTTTTTACTAGTATCGAATTATCTCCACGGACAAATGTTTTTTTTTTAAATAATGTAAATGATTTACACTCCTGGTCTCTAATAATGTAAATGATTTACATTTGTGGTTTCTACAAGCAGGCGCACAATCAATAAGTAAAGAGAAGATAAATAAAAAAACTCGAGGTTATGGGATAAATCCCATCTAGGCATCTACCATCTCCCTCCTGATAATATTCAACTATAATACCAAGTAGAAAATACGTAGAAACTATAACGATAATATCAAGCACTAGAAACTACGCCATCTAAAATAGAACTCCCACGGAATATGTGTAGGATGAGGTTGTTACTCTTGCGAAGATTCCAATATGATTTCTCATCTAAGATAATACCAACAAAACGATACTCCTACTCTATAATATTACGTTCGTTCTCAAATAAACGACCTAAATAAACATTATCTAGTACAACGAATTTAAATAGATACGATACATATCCGAAATAGGTAATGCACAGATTTATTGTAATACTCCCTCTGTCCCAAAATATAAGTATTTTTAAAATAGTGCCAAGTTAAATATAATGTTTAACTTTGACTATTAATAGCAAAAATCAATAAAGATCAATCGTGTAAAATTGATGTTACTGGATTTATCATTAAACAAACTATCATAATATGCAATTCTTTTTATTTAAAACATTTTACTTTTATAGATATTATTGGTTAAAATAGCATCTCGAAAACTACGTCGAAGTTCAAAACTGTTTATATTATGGGACGGAGGGAGTAAAATATAATTTTGTTATAGCTTGGTTTTGATTAGTGTGCCTCCTCGTACAAACAAATGTCTCACGTGGTAATAGAACTTTTGCCGACAGTCAGACACAACATGCAAATGTTCAGAGTTGAGTTCAGATGAAGAGCTTTATACTATACTTCCTCCGTGCAAAATAAAAAGGCAAACTGTGGGTTTCTGTGCCAACGTTTGACTGTCCGTCTTATATGAAAAATTTTTATAATTAGTATTTTCATTGTTATTAGATGATAAAACATGATTAATACTTTATACGTAACTTATCTTTTTAATTCTTTTCATAATTTTTTCAAATAAAACGAACGGTCAAACGTTGGTTTGTCTTTTTTGGGACGGAGGAATTACTACTGAACAGATCACATGGATTGCAGATCAGATCAGTTGACTCCACGAGAGGATCCCCAGGTCCGGAGCTAATTCCCGATCAGTGTGGAAACGCAAGCGATCGACCAACGACGTCGCGATGGCTGGTTCAGCGTGGTCAGGAATGTTCGTTCGATCGACATAGACCTCCCAACGCGGGCGCCGCAACGATTCCCGGTAGAGTGTTTAGGGTGCGATGTTCAGGCTAAAATTGGAAGTTTGAATAAAATTGAAACGATATGATAGAAAAGTTAGAAGTTTGTGTGTAGAAAAATTTTGATGTGATGGAAAAGTTAAAAGATTGATAAAAAAGTTGGAACTAAACCAGGCCTTAATGCGCTGATCGAGATGACGATTGAGATGTATGGTGCCACCAACCGGTTGCGAACAGCCGACGGTTTGGACCAGACAGGCGTTGAGCTATGATCTCGTCAATGCCTCCTGTGGATGAACCTGGAGAACGCTACGCGTCGGACGAACGGCGCGAGACGAATAATCGGACGCATCCATGAGCCGTCCGATCCGCGCGCACGCCATCAGCCATCCAACGTTATCAAGCATGCATGCATGCAAAACTATTTAAACTATTTTTTCTCTTAAATTATTATCCAAATCATGATCCGATTGCACCATTAAATCCGTTGCAATTAAATCTTTAAAATAAGACCACACATGAATATATTCCGGTGAAAAAAAAAGCTTATTATTGAATTATTTTTAAATGTTGCACGCTGTTTCACCAAGTATATTGGAATTGTTTCACTAGGTAGATCGAAAATGTTTTAATCGTTTAAATCGGACGCTGCTTCACCTTATATAAAAACAATGTTTCAGCAAATAGCGAAAGAATATTTCGAGTCACCGCAACATTTGATCCATATAAAGTGAAACATTTTTTGTGGAAGAAAAAATGAAACGAATTCTCTTAATAGATGATTTCTATAATATGTGAGTGATTTGTTGTAAAAGAATTTTTCAATTCACTACAACATTAGATCTATACATAAACATTGTGAGTACACTAGGTAAAACATTTTTAGTGGAATATTGTGAGTACACTAGTGAATACTTATTGTAACACTCAACCAATACATATGCAACATTTACAAATAAACTAGTGAAACACAATAAACTACTTACTGAAACATGCAAATAACACCATGAGATATATTAAAGAAAGATATATGCATCGTGACACTAAATAAATATGTGCAACATAATAGAATTTCAGCTGAAACATCTAATTTTCACATGTGAAACATTAAGTTTAATTGGTTGAAACATATGTGTGTTTTTTATTATAATATAGTCATATGAGATCTTGTTGTAAAGATTTAATTGCAACGAATACAATGGTGTAATCGTATCATAGATTGGATGAGTAATCTAGAAGAAAAATCATTTTTCAAGTTTGCTAAAAAGGTGTTATGTACATGCAAATAACCTCGTCTCATCTCTCTTTCATGCATATTAATGCTCAGAAATAAAGCGTATGTAACAGAGAGAGCATCTGACAAAGTCTGTATGAAGCAAAGTCATAGTAAGATGTGTCCGATTTTTTTTTCAAGATCGGACGACCGATCTGAAGTGTTTTCCTAGTTGTTGCTATGTGTACAGTGTCGTTTGTAGAGCGTCCGATTTTTCTCCCCGTGTCGAATGTTCGAGACGAAGCATTTTCGAATGAACCTTCATAACATCCTGTAGAAAGATGGTTTCATATACTTTATGTCGGGGAAAGCAATAGAATTGAAGCTGATCCTGGCCTGGTCGACATGAATCCAACAGAACTACAGTAAGCTTTTTCAGAAGTATAAAGAACAACACCAACGAACCCGGCCCGTCCGGAGATGACGATAAGTAGTAGCTTACTAAGAGCAGGTACAATAGCAGACTATTAGCCAGTTATAAATATATTTTAATGAGATAAAAGATGAGAGAGAAGAGCAGCGGGCTACAGATATGTAGCCAGCTGCAGCACGGACTCTAAGACGCAGTGTGTATATGACAGGTGGGACCATATATTAATGGTATAGTAAGCAACTATTGTATGAATTGACTATTAGATTGGCTATAGATGAATTGGAGCTAGTAGTGGGCTATACTATTAAACTTTTTTAACGTGAGAATGAATAAGGGTGTAGGGGTTCATGTTCATGGGTTAGACCCTTAGAAATTAATTAGATCCCTCCCCTATACAAATCACACAGCACCGTATAATTTCACAAACTCAATTCCTCCCTAATACAAGTATAATTTCATTCTATTACACATGGTTTAGTAAGCAATATTCTGCTATTGGTAACCTATTACAAGGTTGGTTTAATAGGCAGAATATATGGTTGCATGGTACCAAGTCATGTTATTTTACGCGTGCGTGCTTGCGGTAATATAACATTAACCTCTCACTCTCCTTACCATCCCACCTATAAAATTAACACTCCATGAATATGAGATGAATACTATTCTTTGGACTTCATCTCAATTTATAACACATATTTAGCACTCCAAATAACATCAAATGAAAAATTTATGCATAATTTATTGTTGAAACAAATACAAGTTGAGATGCATATAATGTCACCAGTCGTCGTTTTTCCATATTCCTTACATTATGTTGTTGGGATTAACGTGATATGGTATAAACAATGTTAATAAAACATGAGTTAGGTTGGGATTGATCTTAGAAATTTGAATTTTATTGATTCTTTGTTATACTAAGTAACAAAGATATAATTTTTAGATCTTATTGTTTCTGTATGTATACTACTATGCTAATAAGTTATATATTAGAGTGTGTACCTAGATTTCTTCATACCGTACATTATGATTTCAACTAGATTATTGATATGGTATGAACAATAATGTTGATAAACATGAGTTAGCTTAGGATTGATTTTAACTTTTGGATTTTATTGATTTTGCAGTATACTACAGTAACAAAAATACAATTTGGATCTTACTGTTTCTGCATGTATATTACTATGCTAATAAGTTATATGTTGGAGTGTGTAATTAGATTTCATCATACCATATATTATGATTCCAACTTGATGATTGTTATTTTTACTCAATATTTATTATTTTCAATGGTTAATTTTGACTGAAAGATTGTAACCTTTCTTGTCTCTGTTTTATACAACTTGGATGGTTTATGACCCGGCTAATCCTTGTTAGTTGATATGATAAATATCTTACCACTAAATTCCATGACAATAACCTATGTACTTTATTTTTGTTGGGAGGATAAAATTTGTTTTTTAAAACGACACATATCTAATCCTTAGCATTAACCATCTAGTTTTCAAATTTCTATTTAAGATGACATGTTAGTGCTATTTGTTTTTCTCCAAATTCTCATAGAGCAAAACAATATACTATCCTATATATCCCTAACTTTCAACAAATAAAAGAGAAGAAAAGTTCTACAGTTGCAGGTGAATCTGCAGGTAGACTCACTGTGTTTATATAGGAGATGATTCTATCATCTAGGTTTTGCCTTTGGTCATTCATGCATATGACTACATCACGTATACATGATAGACCAGTGAGCTTCAGACCAGTGAGCTTCAGGACATTTTCCATGATCTTTTCTTCAGCATCCATCTTTTTTCATGAATGTTCATGAGTTTGGGACCGGCCGGCGGTAATTATCTCTCACACTCCTACCACGAAAGTACGTACAAAATTTTCTTCTTATTACAGGTCTCTCGTGTGCCGTATATGCCGTCTTGACTGCTCATTAAACCATCATGCATCATCTGTGCTGTTGGCCTGCCACCAACCCTTGTTTTCTGCATGTCGAAAACATAAAATTTCATGTGCAAGCTAGAGTTACGACGACTGTTTTCTTCTTTTATTTTGTAAAACAAAAATTCTACCGACTATAGGGTGGCCTGGTCTGGTCCTGGCCAAGGCCATGTTAGCATCTTGCCACCGTTAAGAAACAAACCTATATATGCATACTTTATCCTTTCTGTAGAGACAGATGCGGGCCTGCAGCAAACATGGGTGATGAACAATTCGATTGATCT